GCCGGACATAAGGCGCCCCTAGGGAGGCATTCGGAGCCTGGAAGGTGGTCGGGCGCAGGGAGGTGGGTGGCTCAACGCAGGAGCACCCCCTACTGGCCCGCCTCACGTGGTGGAAACAGCGGAGGGATACGAATACCCAGCTGTGTTCCTGAGGTGGGATCTCTGGCCCCGCCACAGTGGTCACCCAGCTCCAGCGGCTGCAGCTCTGCAGGTCAGGCACTGGCGAGGTCCACGGTGAGATGGGACCCAGGCATCCTGCCGCCTGCCCTCTGCTCCAGAGCACCAAGCTCCACTTAAGACATGGGAGCAGAGCCCAGGTGTCCAGCCTCTTTCGCTGTTGCTCTAACCACTACACAACACTACCGTGCTCATTTGCTCGCTGCTGCTGACCTGAATCTCGGTTCAACCACCCCCACCCCAAACCAGGCACCGACGCCTTCCACCTCCCGGGCCGAGACGCGACACTTACTGAGGCATCCCTGGCCGGCGAGTCGGTGCGGCTCTGGCTGCGCTCCCAGGGCTGGCCGGAGCAGCGGCTGGGGGTGCGCAGGGTGGGCGTGATAACCTCCTGGGCCGAGGGGTGGGGGCTGGCGAGGGGGCGGCCGCCCTTGCGGCTGTAGGACTGCAGGTACTCCTGAACGTACTCCGAGCGGCTGGCGGCCTGGTAGAGACTCTGCAGGGCGCACAGCTCCGGCCGGTTGCGGGCGACGAGGGGGCTGCGGGCAGGCGAGTCCACTCGGTACGAGTCAGACGTGTGCAGCCCTGCAAACTCCCGCGCCAGGTCCGAGTGGCTGCTGGACTTCTTGCGGCTCAGGGAGGCCGGCGCTGGGACATAGCTGGCAGGGCTGCTGGGCGAGCCGGCATAGGAGTAGCAGGATCCCCCATTTAGGCCGCTGGTACCCACTGGTCGCCCTGGCACATGCCTGTAGCCCAAATTCAGCCGGATGCTGGGGTCAGGGTGCAGGGCCAGCCGGCCCGGGTCATAGCTGGTCGGGGAGGTGCCCGCGGCACGGAGATGGCTAGGGACCATGTAGGTGCCAGTGGGGCCAGTTTTGAAGCCAATTTTGTCCTTGTCTGGGTAGGAGGTGGTAAGGTTGGAGCCATAGGAGTAGGAGCCATAGCTGGGGGTCTTGCTGTAGGTGGTCTCCGCGTAGCGGGACGAGTCCACGTAGCGCTTCAGGGTGGAGGAGAGCTGGGACATCCTGGTGGCCGGGGCTGGGTGAGCACCACTGGCAGCATCGACTGTGGGAGGAGAGCCCAGAGAGAGGGGTTAGAGGCTGGAAAAGGGCATCTCCCCATGCCCAGGGGGGACCCAGAGGGAAGGAGCCCTCTGCCTACGCCTGCTGGGGGACAGGCTCCAGCACCGCCTGCCACCTGCCTCACCAAAACCTGCTCCCCCAGCCCCTGGGAGGGAGCCATGGCCTGGCAGGGGTCTGTCTGTCCTCCCCACCTTCCCGGGGGCAGTCAGTGGCATGTGGTGGGCAGAAAGGAACTGGATCCCGGGCCCAGGGACTGGAGGGGTGTCCGGGGGGCTTGGAAGGCCCGAAAGCCCTGCCCATCTTGCAGCCACATGGAGAATGGGTCTGTACAGTCTCAGCTCGGTTGCCAGAGGACGGAGCATGGCCCCAGAAGTCCCCCCCCTCCCCCCACAGCCTGGCTGGCACGTGCAGCAGAGACCGGGAGCCGGACCCCCTCCTGCCCCACTGAGAGGTCAGAGGAAGACAACAGAGCAAAGGACTGGACCTGGGAGTCCAGGCTCACAGGTCCCTGCTGGACTAAGTTCCCAGGACCCTGTTTCACAGGGGAGGAATTAGGGTGGGGATGGGAAAGGGACTTGACAAGGGACACAAGGCAAATCAGTGTCAGAGAAGCCCACATCTGATACAGATTGTGGGCTTTCTCCACCCTCATCTCCCATTTGCACCTGCCCGCCCACAGCGCCCCTGGGGCCAGGTCCTGTCCCTGCCCCGCCGCTCCCTGTCACTGCAAGGTGGGCAGGAGACAGGGGCTTGGCCCTCTGACCGGGCAGGATGGGGGCACTGACACTGAGGCCCACGTAGCCCTGGGAAGATGAAGGGGAATGCATCTCTCAAGCATCGCCAGGGCTGCTGCGAGTGAGCCAGGCCGGGAGAGGGATTGGTGCCCCCCAGCTATCCATGCACCGGGGCTGCCCCCTGCGCTGTGGAGAGGAGCAAGGTGTAGCCTGGGCCTGCACAACGGGCGCTGCTGGGGTGCAGGGAGAAGGAAGGGCGATGGGAAACCGTGGGAAGACTAAGGATCAGGGCCACAGGAAAGCCCTGCCACTTGCTCCCATCCACGCTGCACCCGATCTGCCTGGGGAGGCTGCTGCCCCATCAATAATTCAGCCCCGCAAGCGCGCTTCCAGCTAGAGCCCGCTGCTGCAATGCCTACGGGATGCCCTGTTGGAGCGGCTGGGCACGGGAATGCCCCCTCCCCTGCCGGCCTCGGGACCCTGGTACTTCAGAGGCAGAGGCTGGGGCTCTTCAGGAGCTGCCAGCTCTGCTCCAGGCTGCTGCAAGAAAGTGCTGGGGGTGGGGGGAGACCTGACCCAATTCAAGAGCTCTGGGATGGGAGGGGGGAAGGGTGTTACTGGACTAGCTGGAGGCAGCACAGGAGAGTAAAGACGCCAGGCCAAGACTCCTGGTGCCAGCCAGTGGTGCCAGCCTCACTTCTGGGCACCTGTGGGATGGATGGGGCGGGGGGGAGATGCCCCCCGGGCGGCATCACACCCATGGCTGGAAGTGCCCACTACAGGCAGGCAGTCACGTTTGCACACAGGGTGGGGTAAGTGCCATGCCCAAGGCCAGCCAATGAGTCAGTAGCAGAGCTAGCAACAGCACCCAGGAGTTTGGAGTCCCATTAGTGTCTGTGAGCCGGGACACGTAGCTGACAGTGCCCTGAAGGCAGATGCACTGCCCCATGCAAGCCGGGGTGCCCAGGGCACCCGCTTGGCCAGCTCCCCACCCCCTGCCCCCAACTTAAGAGCCTGGTGGGTCCCAAGCACTGCTCTCAAGAGCACCCCCCCCGCCACTCCCACTTCCCAACAGACCCCAGGTGAGATGCAGGGGGGCACACCCGGGCACCCACTGGGCTGCAACTGGGAAGAAAGTTTTTTTCTGGTGCAGCTCCATGCAAAGGGGCAGCAGCTGGCGTGGGGCAGGGGCAGGGCTCCCAGGCCCGGGCTCTGGCTGGCCTCCAAGGGGCCAGGGGACATTACCTGGTGCCAGGGGAGCCCCTGGACAGTCCTGTGCGCCCTCCACTCGCTTCCCCACACTTTCAGGACAGCGGCTCACATGGCTCCGAGAGTCTCCGGTCACCAAGGCAACGACCCTGATTCAAAACCCTTCCCCGGCGCGGCTGGGCGGGATTTCGGCACGCTTGGCCGGGTGCCAGGGCGGGGCTGGCACACTCGCTGGCTGGAGCGACCGTGCGGCGCGCTGCCTGCCGCTGGCACAGGGGGCACGGTGGAGGGCAGGCTGACCCGCACCCGCCATGCCTCACCGCTGGGGATCTCCAAGCATC